TTTAGATTCAGAGGAATTAGCTGTGTTAGTCTGTTGCTGCAAAATAGTCCAAGAGTTCAAATAGCACCTTTAAGACTAACAAATAGCACCTTTAAGACTAACCTTTAAGACGAAGACTGAGTGGTGGGTGTGGCCTTATGACACACTTCTGGTGATGGCAGGGGGTGTGGCATATGCTAATGAGTTATGAGTTATGCTAATGAGTTCCCCTAGCTCTTTTTCTACGAAACAACCCCTGGACATAGATCAGTTCACTTGGAGAAAATGGCCACCTTGGAAGGTGGACTCTATGACATTATACCCCATTGAAGTCTCTCCCCTTCCCAAACCCTCCCCTCCTCAGGATCCACCCCCAAAATGTCCAGGTATTTCCCAACCCGGAGCTGGCAACCCTACAACTGTTTACTGGTGACCCCATGATTATAGGGTTTTCAAGGCAATAAATGAGCATTGTCATTGTAGTTTTATATTTTGTAAGAACAGCAGATCTGTTCCAAAAGATCCAAGAAATCAAAAGAAATTAAAATCACAATGAAGCATACTGAAAGATCAACACGAAAGGCCACTAACTGCATAGGACAAAATAAAGAAAAGATAGGAACAATGCACTGGAGAATGATACAAACGAGGCAAAAGGAAGACAGATTCCTTCCAGGAAGAATCTTTTGAAGAAGAACCTATAGTTTTAGAAAGTGAAGTGAAAGATGGACTGGGAGAAACAAATCACCAGGAGTAGATGAGATATCAATAGAGCAGTTCCAAGCCACAGAAACTAAAAATCTGAAGATTGATTCAACAGTTATGGGAAATAAAACAATGGCCCACAGACTGCAAACACTCAATTTACATCCCAATTCCAAAAAAAGGAGATGCCAAAGACTGCAGCAACTATTGGATCATCGCATTACTTTCTCATGCAAGTAAAGTGACGTGCAAAATCTTACAACAAAGACTGTTAACATAACATGGAACAAGAAATTCCAGATGTTCAAAATGGATTCAGAAAAGGAAGAGGCACTAGGAATCATATTGCAAGTTTACATTGGAGAGAATTTCAGAAGAAAATCAACTGTGTGGATTATGAAAAGTTATTATTGGCTTTAAAGGAAATGGGTGTGCCACAGAATCTGATTGGAGTATAGACTATGCATCAAAACAGACAGGATATGGAGAAACAGAATGGTTTCCATTGGCAAGGTGTGAGAGAAGGATGCCTTTTATCTCGCTATCTCTTCAATCTGTATGTGGAGTTTATCATAAGGAAAACTGGATTAGATATAGATTAGATGAAGGTGGAGTGAAAATTGGTGGAAGAAACATTACTGAGGTATGCAGATGACACGACATTATTGGCAGAAAACAGTGAAGACTTGAAATGACTACTGATGGAAGTTAAAGCAGAAAGTGCCAAAGCAAGATTACAGCTGAACATCAAAAAGACAAAAGTAATGGCTATTGGGGAATTACACAACTTTAAGGCTGACAATGAAAAAATTGAAATTGTTTGTGAGATGTTCTATTCCGTGGTTCCATCATCAACCAAATGGGAGACTGCACCCAAGAAATCAGAAGGAGATTGAGGCTGAGGAGGGCAGCCATGAAGGAGCTAGAAAAGATTCTTAAATGTAGAGATGTATTACTGGCAGGGCTCTTTTTGTAGAAAAAGCCCAGCAGGAACTCATTAGCATAATAGGCCACACCCAACAGCAGGAACCCATTAGCATATTAGGCCACACCCCTGACAGCACAGCTCATTGGCATATTAGGCCACACCCCCATGTTACCAGAAGTGTGCTCATCCAGCCACACCCACCTTTTGCTTCTTATTCTGTTTACCTTGTTTGTTGTCCAAACCCAAGGATTTTTTGTAGCAGGAACTCCTTTGCATGTTAGGCCACACACACCTAATGTAGCCAATCCTAATGTGTTTCTGCTGTTGGGTGTGGCCTATTATGCTAATGAGTTCCTGCTGGGCGTGGCCAACTCAGGAGCCAGCCGGAACTCCGTTCCTGTGCGTTCCTGCCCAAAAATAGCCCTCTCATTACCATGTATGGGTGTAAAAGTTGGACAATAAAGAAAGCTGACAGGAAAAAAGCAAATTCCTTTGAAATGTGGTGTTGGAGGAAAGTTTTATGGATACTGTGGGCTGCCAAAAAGACAAATAAGTGGGTTCTAGAGCAAATCAAGCCTGCCTTCTCCCTAGAAACTAAAATGACTAAACTGAGGCTATTGTACTTTGTCACATTATGAGAAGACAAGAGTCTCTGGAAAAGACAATAATGCTAGGAAAAGTTGAAGGCAGCAGGAAAAGAGAAAGGCACAAAGTGCGATGGATTGACTCAATCAAGGAAGCCATGACCCTCGGTTTCCGAGACCTGAGAATGGCTGTCAATGATAAAATGTTTGTGGCGGGATATTAATTCATAGGGTTGCCATGAGTTGAAAGCAACTTGATGACACTTAACTCACACACACAAGCTGCACTGAGTTCTAGGGTTGCCAGTTCTGGGCTGGAAAATACCTGGAGACTTTGGGGGTGGAGCCAGGAGAGGGTGGGGTTTGGGGAGGGGAGGGGCCCCAGCATAGAACAATGCCATAGAGTCCACCCTTCAAAGCAGCCCTTTTCTCCAGGGGAGCAGATCGCTGTCAGCTGGAGATCACTTGTAATAGTGGGAGATCCCCAGGCCCCACCTGGAGGCTGGCAATCCTACTGAGTTCTGGGGAGAAAAGCTGGGTAAAATACTTAAATACAGGGGTCGTTTCGTAGAAAAAGAGCTAGGGGAACTCATTAGCATAACTCATTAGCATATGCCACACCTCCTGACATCACCGGAAGTGTGTCATAAGGCCACACACACCACCCCCAACGGTCCCGGCCGCCGCCACCGGCCTTGCAACTCCACTGCTGAGCCCCATGAGGGGCCCGGCGGTGGACCTGCAAGGCTGGCGGGAATGCAAGGAAGCCCCGCGAAGGCCCTCCCTTGCCCCAGGCAGGCAGGGGTGGGGAGAGGCACGGAGGAAGCAACTTACCCTCCCTCTTCTCCTGCTTCCTCCTGGCTGAATGAGGGCCGGAAGCATGGGGCGGGGCTTCGTCATGTGCCCCGCCCCTGTACCTGACCCGGGGGAACTGCGATCCCCCGCGATCCCCCCCCCCAAATGACCTCTGCTTAAATATTTTTTAAAAAATACATGACACTTCATGTAGTTAGGCCCTTGGAAGTGTGCAGAACCAGTGGAATTAGAACAAAGGAACAGGCAGGTACGGATGCAAACAGGAAGGAAGGGTAGCAGCCAAGATCAATAGCAGGAACACAGAATTAACCTGTTGCTCAAACAAGAACTAGAAGCAGCTTTAGAAGTAGTTAGGGTCAGTGGAGCAAGTAGGCAAGGTGGGGGTGGGTAGTTAAGAAACAGAAAGGTAAAAGAAGGGGCTGTTCAGGAGGTCTCTCTCAGATTTAAGGATCTGGTGCAGAAGCAAGGAAAAGGTAACCAATTCCAAGGCAAGTCCTTCTAATATCTTGATTACCCAGCTCTAGAACGTGGAAATGGATTAAACCAGTAACTTTAGTGAGAAGTGCCAGTGAAACAACAGTACTTTGTTACCTTCTGAATTGGAATTTAGTGGAGCTGCTTGTAATAAGCCATTCTGTAGGAAAAGGAATTTCTGGTTGGTGTCCCAAATTTTGTAGAGCCAGGGTTCTTCTAGAGCTGTAATCCCCATTTCTATGAGGGGGGGAAGTATATATACAAATAAATATACAGCCACACAAACACACACTTTCACACTTTGAAAGAAAATTGATACTGGTCTCAAAGAAGGAATTAGGAAGTTGTTCAGCAGTGAACACCGTCATGAAAATGTTATGATATGTGGGATGCTACATTAAGTTTTCACTTTATGAGTGGCAGTTTTACAAAGAGGTTGCACAAAATGACAAGTGTCCTGGTTGGTACAGCATATTTCCTAAGGCACAATTCGTCTTAATTTCTGATGCAAGTCTAGGAGTGTCCTCCATTGTAGAAGTATGGTGCACACCGTTCATTCAATGAATTCACAGTAGCTCCATTCACGTGTACCAAATTATACATGCTGTATGCATGCAGCAGGAAATAGGAGTGTTGACCTTATTTATTTTTTTATAAAATGTATATCCTGCCTTTCTTCCTCCCTCAGGGCCACCAAGGCAGCTAACAAATTAAGAGCATACATCATAAACATAGGTCTTTAAAACCATTAAAACCAAACAGAAAAAATGTCATTAAAACAATTAAAATCTAGCTAAAACACATATGCAAAAAACATTTAAAAACCAAGTAAAACGCAGGGCAGGAAGGAGGGATGAGTGAGGGAACCCCAGACAAATTAAGTCTTGACCTGCTGGCAGAAGACAGCAACAAAAAGATGAGTCTCCCTGGGGAGAGAATTCTAGAGTTTTGGTGCCGTGACTGAGAAGGCCCTCTCCCGGTGGCACCTGAAGCAGAACCTTGGAAGATGACCACAGGGATCTGGTAGGTTTATGAGGCAGTAGGCGGGCTTTCAGGTAAACTCATAAGCATGCCCATAGCACACCAAAGCTTTCTATGAATGGAAAATACATTTGCCCCTGTTCCTGCAAAATGGCTACTGAATGCATCAGGAGATACATACAATTTATTTAGGACTGCATCCGCTGAATCTTTTAGGTCGTGATCCACACAGTAATTAAGTTAGAGTATTTTATGTGTCACAACTTGTACAATCATTGCCCCGCCTAACAACTAGAGAGGAGACCAAATGTTGCAAGCATGCAGGCTTTGTTTTGAGTGTCCCCATTTTTGTTTCTCTCTTCTGAGTGTCTGCTTTCACTCAGCTTATTCCCTTGTGCAGAATGTTCCCCTGTTAAAAAGTATGCACTTTCAGAGTTTGCTCCTTTGCCTCCATAGATATTTCATAAAATGACAATTGCATATAAATGGCACAAACATTGTATGGGCATATAACTGACTAGCCCTTAAAGAACTGACAGGGCCTTGTGGTAATGGGTCATCTGGACGTCTCCTGTGGAATTTAATCCATCCGGGACAAGTCCAACTAAGGAAGGTCCACACATGTGAAGTAGCACAGGGAAGGTTCCTCTTCGGGCTGCGACATGGACTGGACCTTATTTAAGGCTGGTGATGAGGCAAGATTCCCAGAAGGGCCAGGTTTTGGTGGCCCCTCTGTGTTCTCCTCCCCCACTGCTTAGCTATCCATCCTTCCTCCACCCTCCTGCTCGTTTCCCAGTCCTCACCCACCTTTTCCTGACTCTGCTAAGTAGTGCATGCAGCTGGGAGCATGGGTGGTGCGAGGAATTACAACAAGCAGATGGACTGGAGAGAGGTGAGTGGGCCCCACCAGAAGTGGGGCCTCGGCAGCTGCCCCACCTCAGGGTACGCTGATGCCGGTCCTGCCTCCCGGCCCCACAGCAGACTGTGGGGCTGTAGGCAGTGTTCCGTCTAAGCTGAGTTAGTGTGCGCTAGCTCACAGTTTTTTAGCCTCTGGCTTACACATTTTTGCCTTAGCTCAGGAAGGATGGCTCCAGAGCAAACTAATTTATGCAGTAGCCAAATCGCTCACTCACAACTTTAATGCCAATAGCTCACAAAGTAGAATTTTTGCTCACAAGACCCCACAGCTTAGAGTAGGTTGATACCTGTTGATTTTGGACTTTGAAACCATCTTGGACTCCGCTTTGCTAAGGTAACCTCTGGATTAGTGAACCATTGTTTGAAGTATCTAGATCTGAAGAAGTATACTTGCACAAGAAAGCTTATACCCAGAATAAAATTTTGCTGGTCGTAAAGATGCTAGTGGACTGAAACTTCGTTTTGAACTATCTCGGTTAGCTATTTAGCGTTGTTATTTTTATCCTTACTGCTCTTTTATTGCGTATTCCTGCACATTCTTTTAATAAATCACTTTAAATTATATTTGGTGTGTTCTTGAATTCTGGGGCTTCAGTCTGAATCCAGTACTTTGGCCCAGGTTGGTTACAGCTACCAAAGTAACTTGTTTTTGGAACCCACCTTGAGAGTGCACAACTTTACAGGGTCGATTTCTATTCTTAGACCCAGGAGGGCCCCTTAGTCTTTAGCTGGCTGGGTAGTAAAGGGACTGGTGGCAGCGATACCCTGAGGTGTGTGGATTCACATTTCACCTTTTTGTTTTGTGTGTCTTGCCAAGACAGTCACACCCCAAATATGAACTCCCTGGCTTGGGGAATTCGTGATAGAGAAGTCGTCAGCTGTCCACAGGGGGCTACATCCATATGTGTTTGCCCAAGTGGAAGCTGTCTGTGGTCCTTGTATCTGACTGACTCCCAGCCTCACCTCTTGCTTTTGCCGTTGAACCTCCTGCAGCTTTAGCTGAAACATCAGGACTAGCTTTGTACATCATCAGACAGAAGAGGAGGGAAAGCACAATGAGCAACAAAGCCTCAGAAAAGAGCAGTGGCAGCTGATGCCTCAAAACATGGGTATCATGCACGCAATAACTACCCACTGAGCTGTGCATTCCTGGTACTTTACCAAAGTGGTATGGCATTTCTTTGCATACATACCTCACTGTTTTTTCTGTTCAACTAGTGGTGTCGGAAGTAACCACAGGGACAAGGCATTTAGTTGGCATGCTTGTCTTTTTGCGAGATAAAGACAAAACTTTGGATAGGTTAGTGTTTAAAAGGTACATGTGAACCTTTCCGGGTTAAAAATAACTGATTTTTTACCTCCTGTCTTCCCAAAGTTATGGAATAAGTCTGCCATTTCCTGGTCCACAGTCTTCCTTCCATGCGCCATCTTTGCAGCCTCTTCTGTATTCTGTATTCTTCTCTAGGATCAGTTCAGGGTACTGTATTCGTTGCCTCGTCTGCAGTTGCAGTTCAAATCTTGGGAGGAACTGTTAAAAGAGGATGTCATCTTAGGCCTGAACTACACATTACAATTTGTAACTACAATAACGTGTAGGCTCAGAGTTTTGCCAAACTGACTTTGATGCAGGCAGTCAGACATCAAGAGTAGAGGAACTTGTTTTCCAAGTCTGGATCGTGACCATGGCATGAAGGGAAAAGGGGCTTCAACCTTCCCCTCGTGCCAGCATTATTTGCCCCACTGGGGCGCTGCACATGTACTGATGGGCTACACAAGCAGACATTCCCCTGACCCTAATTTGTAGTTCAGGCCATAGACCACAGTTGCAAACTTTGCAAAGGACATCTAAACCATTGTTAAAGCAGGTCTATTAATTTTGCTGTGTGCTCTTGTGTCCTCAGGCACAAGCGCCCACTCCACCACACTGTCTCTTTCCTATGGCTTTAACAACCACATGTAGGATTGCCAGGTCTGGGTTGGAAAATACCTGGAGACTTTGGGGGTGGATCCAGGAGAGGGAGGGGTTTGGGGAGGGGAGGGGCCTCAGCATGGTACAATGCCATAGAGTCCACCCTTCAAAGCAGCCATTTTCTCCAGGGGAGCTGATCTCTGTCAGCTGGAGATCAGTTGTAAAAGCGGGAGATCTCCAGGCCCCACCTGGGGATTGGCAGCCCTACCAGTGGGGAAGCCCCACCCCCAAACAGGGACACTACCACGCAATATCCCTGTCACAGTGACGTTGCCCAGAAGTGACATCATCACATTGCCAACGTTGGGGGATGATGCTGTAGTTTTGGGGCAAACTATGGTTTTAAGGGCAAAAAACCATAGAGTTTTGCCCAAAAACTGGAGTGTTATCCCTGACATCAGCAATGTGCTGACATCACTTCTTAATCAGTGTTGTTGGTTTTTTTGCAGTGTATATTTATTTGTTACTAGACCCACCCGGAGTCTGGCAACCCTAACTACATGGCAAGGAGAAACTCAATAGGTTTAGTTGCTCCACTTTGGGAAAAACCTGTGCCAACTTCATGTTGGGAAACTATCAGTGGCCCAGGAACATTTGTCAAGATTTGGTAACCCCCTTTATGCAGAAAGGGCAGACACCTCTGCCATTTTTTTTTCTTGATGCAAGGTAAGAGCCTCCTACACCATCCCTTCCCCATATTCCCAAAGAAGATGTGTCTAGAAAACTTGCCTCTCTATTTAGCTCTAAGAGTGCATAGCTGAATTTCTACATCAACACCAAGCACCCAAAGGCAAAAGTTAAAAGGGACAGAACCCAGGAATTATTTCAGGAAGAAATTGTGTGGTAAAAGAGGTGAAGCAAAAGCTGTGAGTCATCCAGGGTTAGTGAGCGGGCTCCCTCAGGTGTCAGAACTGCATCAGGGCACAAGCGACAGGTTAAAAACCGCCGTACATTAGACAGTATCTTGGGACAGGAGACTAGGCCAACAGTTTGTCAACCTGCTGGATGACCTTGAGCAAGCCGTAGTTCTGAAGAGCTGTTCTTGAAAAAGAGCAGTTTCTGTCAGAGCTCTCTCAGCCCCACCTACCTCACAGGGTGTCTGTTGTGGGGAGGGGAAGGGAAAGGAGTTTGTAAGCCGCTCTGAGACACCTTTGGGTAGTGAAGGGCAGGGTATAAATCCAATCTCTTCCTCTCTTCTCTTCCTCTTCTCTCTTCTCTCCTCATGAGAGAGCAGACAGTTTAGCACAGG